AAAAAATGAATCTACAGATGTCGGGCCCACTCAAGCCAAATTAAGTACGATTCCAACGCGTTCCTACCAGAATGATGATGGTAGCATGAAGAAGATGGGCGCAGGAGGTACTTTGCGGCGAGAGACAAAAATATTCAAATTTCGGTAGGTGAAACGAAAGTAATCGCTCTAACAACGATCACCCGGTCGAACGTAAACTAATCTATGCAATAACAAATAAGAATATGTGGAAGGATAGATGAAATGTTAATATATTCTTTTCAAGAGTTCAAGTGTATGTCTCAAATATATGATTATACGTTTTTTCATCAATGATCCAATCCCTACGTTAATTGCAAAGAGAACATATTTACAATGCATTGGCCGACGTGGTAACCGTTGGATCGGAACCACGTGGCCTCATCTCCTTAACTAAGGATTCACATCATTGTCTATTCATACAATTAATACATTGATAATAGATCAGCCGTCCTATACAATAGGCTGACACACTAACAACTTAATTACAAGCATTACATCAATCACTTCAGATATTCTCAAATCTTTTACAAGGAAGCAGATCGGTTTCGAGACGTCAGCTTTTTTCCCAACTTCTAGTCACGCAGTGTGAAGACTTCGGACGCTGTATGAGGACCTCGGCCTTTTGACTTCTTTCGTATCTTTGACCTACTGAGTCTTCTTTTGACTTCTTGTTGACCACTGCCTACGTGTCGTGTCATGTGGACTCATGGACGAAATCGAGGGGTAACAATTTCAATTTGTTTTCTATGTTTAACTTTATTTTTGAACACAAATAATCGGGAATGTTTTGAGGGCTGTGTCTTTTTCTTGACAAATAATGCTTGACTAAGTAATGCGTATATCTTCAATTTCAGGAGTGTTGGCAGAATCTGCGAGAAATTTTGAATTCGGGTTCAATCATTCAACAAAACGAACACCAAGCTCGACCCACAACTATATATCTATATGACACTTGGTTTTGCCACAAGTCTTGCACTCACAAATGATACACTTGGTGGTGGATATTGCAGCCACAAAGGGATGATAAAACAAAGTAAAAGCAATGGTAAAATCAACCAAGAACCGGCTTTCTCACTATAGTTTCTTCTCTTTGCAAAACACACGGGGCTGGGAAGAGACAGGGAATTGGTATGTATGGTTAATCAACTTGGTCACTCAATTGGGCCACGACTCATGTAAATGGGCTTCCACTTAACCAAGAATAAATGGACTAATATCCAAGTCCCAACTTATCAATAAATGGGCCACCAATAAATCACCTCAAATCCCAGGAATAACCACAACTGGGCCCTCCAAAAGTGTTAGACCACGAGCAATATTAAGAGCTTATTTGGTGCACATTAAAATGAGAGAATGTATTTTTTTGAAATGATGTGATTGTAGACAGCAAAAAATATTTGGTGATCAAATTCGATCAATTGATTCTTCGCAAAACCAAAATAAGAGCCTGTTTGGTGCACATTAAAATGAGAGAATGCATTTTTTTGAAATGATGTGATGGGGAATATATGGTTGAAAATGAAGGACAAGTTATTGATGTGGTGAAAAATATTATTTTATTGAAAAATGTGTGATTGAAAATGAGTAGAATAATGAGAATGAAAAAAATAATGTGAGTCAAATAGGGGCTAACTTAATTAAATTGTTTCAAGTGGTCCAAATTGTTTTCGAATCGAGCCATCACTAAGATGTCTATTTAAATGCATCCAACATCGTTTTAACATCATTGTCCAAATTTATTGGATATTAAAAAACCCAACAAGGAGAAGACAGTCCTAAAGAAATCGAAGTTTCGTCTCTATGAGCCGACTCTTTGGCTAGTAATATTTTTCAAATGTGTAGTTTTTTGCTTCATGGTAACCTGCTCCAATAACTTTCGTTATTGGGTTAGCCATATGGACACGTCACTTCTTTTTTTGTTTAAGTTGCTTTTCTTTTTGTTTAACTCACTTTGAAGTCCCTAAAATCGGTTTTCACATTAATTAGATGCTTATTTCATAATATAACTAAACATTACGTTGCACCTTACACTCTTATGTCTTCTGAAAGTTTTTGATTAACCTTTACGATGTGCATTATTTTCCAGTTTGAACATCTTGCATTTTACCTCATTAATGAGCTTTGCTTAGTCGAATACGAGGCTTCGAACTACAAGCCCTCAATGCTTTGTGCATCAGCTATCTATCTTGCCTGATGTACAATGAAAATGACTTCTACATGGACTCCACTCCTAGAAAAACAAATGCGCAATGGAGAATCCCAATTAAGGTTTACGTTTTTTTTTTTGATAAATCCTCTTTTGAAACTTCTAATTTTTATGATTTAATTACATTTAATTCGAACGATACAGAAATTGCACGGAGATGATATTGAAGTTCCACGAAGCTGCTAGAATTTCCCTGTTGAAAGTCAGTTACGAGAAATATATGAAGCTATATAGCCTTTGGACATTCTTCCGTTTTGATATAGCCACTGTACAAAGATCCCACATTGCTGTATCAATTTCAAGTTTTTGTCCCTTAGCAAAATCTCTCCTTTAGCCGACTGCAATTACTGTGATACCAAGTTGGAAAAATTAGGGATCCACTTATCCTTGTCCTTGAAAAATGAGCTTCCGAACTCCAACTTATTTTAATAGAGCCTTGCTTCGTCTACAGGGCAAACTCTGCTAGTGATTTTACAGGGGATGGGATATTTTATCATTGGGAGTTGGTAAAAAAAAAAAAGAGGCAATCATACAGGTGTTGTCGTGCAACACCTGATTATTCTGGCAGTTAATGACTCATTTTAACACATGAATTGCAGTCACTAAAAGTCCAAATGTATATGGAAAATTGTACGAGTCTTTTAGTTGAATTAAAATTACAGGCTAAAAGCGTCAGAATGTTTGTGGAAAATTTTTTGACCTTGACTAAAAATTTTAATGAACTTTTTTTATTTAAACCAAATAAGGATTGGACTTAAATTAATTTGATAACATGATATATTATTTTTGATTAAATATGCGATCAAGGTATTGCTCAAGTACTTGTGGAATAGACATAGAGGTTCAACCAGCCCCTCGGGGTATAGCTCAATGGTGTAAAGGGTAAGAGTGAGGTAGTCTAAGTTGAACTGACAGTCGCAGTGTGAAAGTTAGATTACTGTCTCATATAAAGTATGAAATTAGATTCTTTGTGGGTACCAATATGTCAACTCTTGTACTCCGGCCTGTTGAAGCACATTTCGCGATTTACCTCCTCCACAATGCTTTAGGGGCGGGGCGGGGTGGGGCGGGGCCCATCAATTTTGGGTAGTTATTTTTGTTAAATAGAAAACAAGGATGGATTACGGGAAAGTATTCAATATTATTAATTTTACGTAAAGAACACATTTTAGAAAGTCAAATCATAGTCTTTTAAGGTGTACTAGGAGTTAACTACAGAACATAGACTTTAAGCATTACTATAAACTTGGATATAATACTTGTAATTAATCTCCTGTTTGGTGGGATTCAAATTAAATTTTACGTAGATTTTGATAAAAGTTGATAATAAGTGTAATTGAAAAATTATGAGTATCATAAAATGTGTGATTAAAATTAATTATTGACTTTGACTTAAATTAAAATTAAAATTAAAATTTTAATCCTATCAACTAAGGGGTAAATATGTTTCTTGAAAAGAAAAACCCGTTCAATCTTGTTTCAGAGAAACTATAATAAAAATTAGTAGTGGATCCAACAAAAATGTGTAAATTATAAGTGGGTGAGAATTGTGAAAGTTTGATTGATTCAATATTTGATTTTGACTGCAAATTGGAATGAAACTATGCACCTATTTGACAACTATTTTTTGAGAAAAATGAGTTTTTGAATAATAAATTTATGAAAAATATGTGGTTAAAAAGTAAGAAATTTCTTTGAACTTACGTGAATAATATTTTATTGCGAGAATGTGTGGTTGAAATTTGTACGACAAAATGATTGTCAAACAAACTTAATTGTGTAAAATCAATTCAACGTGACAAACTATGCAGGTTGAGAAACATCCTACGAGTGCTAGTCTGTCTAAGAATCTTCAAGTTGTGCATGGGAACCATTGGTAGCAAAAGTGGCGCGTGTTTGGGATCCATTTTTGCCAGGTTTTGATACATTTTTTATGGTATGACTGCTAGGTGGGGTCCACCCTAATGATAAATGCTCGTCTTGCCGTGATCTTCTCTTTAATTCTCAAAACTTCTGTCGTTCCATCCTCGCAGTGGCAGAGAACCCATCACTGTCTCGTAATATATATTATGGCTCTGTTTGGGAGTGATTAAATTTTTCTACAGTAAATCAATTCTCATTTTCAACCACACATTTTTCAATAAAATAATATTTTCCATCACATCAATAATTTTTTCTTCTTTTCCAACCACACACTTCCCATCATATCACTATTCAAAATCAAATCTTCTCCAAAAAAAATCTCTCCCAAATAAGCTCTATATAACAGCTTTTGCTTCAAAGTGACTCACAGGCACATGATGAAATTAGCCCATGTTTGACACCCATTTTGTTTGAAAAATAATTTTTAGAATAGTGATTGATGGAAGATTGTGTAGTTAAAAAGTAAGGAGAATTTTTAGGTTTATGTGTAATATTATTTTATTAATAGAATGTGATTGAAATGAAGAATGAGAAAAAAATGAGTGTCAAAGAGGGGCCTAATTGCTTATAAGTTGTGAGTTTTATTAAATGTGGAGATATTAACGGGGTAGTAGCTATGGATCCTAAAAATAACATTATACGGGGTTTTCTATCTCATAATTTGCATAGAAAGACAGAGCTTATAATTAACAGACAAACAAAGTGCTTGTGAACAAGAACATACTGTTTTAGGCCTTCTANTTAACAGACAAACAAAGTGCTTGTGAACGAGAACATACTGTTTTAGGCCTTCTACGACGAAAACAGACGGAACTCCTTGGTGCTACAAAAGCCATTCCTCTTGCTGTCCTTAGACTTTGCTAGTGTGTTCTGGTCTGTGAGTAAACTCAAAGTCTATGTGAACGAAAGCACGCTCGACTTCAGGAAGTTGCTCGAGCTTTTCTTGTAATGTTTCTCCAATATTATGTGCTTGGTTCAAAAGCATATCTTCGGGCAATACAATGTCAACCTCTACAAAGTAATGAGAACCAAAAGTATAAGCTCTGACCGTGTCAATATGCTGTATCTCTTTGTGGTGGTTCCATATAAGATATGTTAGCTTTGCTAGAAAATCTGGTGGTGCAGTTCTTCCGATCAGTGACCATACATTTTCGACAACTGTTTTTGACCATGTATTGATTGTATATAGCGCTATCTGCGACACAGAAGGAATTATGTCACGAAACTAAAAGTTTTCCATTGCCTGTCGTAAGCACTAAAAAACAGGGCGATGGACTTACAATTATAGCCCCAGTAGGATCAATCCACCAGTAGAACCGTACTGCTAAAATAGCTGTTGCTAATCCAACTGAGTTTGTAATGACATCGAAAAAGTGATCTTGAGCATAGGCTCTAACAATTTCATTCTTGAATCTACGGCAATAGATCATAAGCAGAAACTTCACCACAGTTACAGAGGACATGATCCCTATCGTCCATTTCTCCTTCTCACGGTCCATATCTGGATGAGACTGCTAGCAAGAGAGAAAATTGGGTATCGTTGAACTACTTGGCACTGGAACCATGTACTAATTTGAACGTGTAAGGAATATGATTGAAGTCGTATACCTTTACAATGATTTCACGGACAGACTCCAGCAATATTTGCAATCCTAGAGTTGCCATTACTGATGCAAAAACAATAATTCCCTGCAAATATTGAACTTGGTTAGCACAACGTTTTAATATCTCTCAAATGGTACTAAACATAACTGAATGATGAGTTTGATCAAGTAGCAATAAAATCAAATACAGAAGCATGTTGCACACTGGTGCAAACTGCAAACTTTAGGCGATTTGTCTCCTGGCGTGCTTTAAAAATTCACACTGAAGATCAGATCATGATAAATTAAAGTCTATACATTATGGTCAGAGAAGAATACGGTGGGACTTACCACAGGTTGCATCCTTTTCTTTCCGATGGGGTAGCGATAATGGTTTGGAGTTCTCATCGCTTGGGAAGTGAACCAAAGAATAAGCCCGGATAAGAGGTCTAGGAAGGAATCCATGGTCGACGCAATCACAGCCAAAGATCTGCTCTCGATTGATGCATAAACTTTTGCGGCAAAAAGGATAAGATTAGCGAAGTTTGACACGTGAACAGCCATTCTTTCGTTCCTGGCAAGCTGTTTCATTTCATCCTGAAAGATAGTACTAACGGAAAGATGTAATGGTAACAAACAAAAATGGAATTACCCTCAAAATTCAATAAACTGTCAAGACTCAGGACGAGTAGCTCGAGCAAAATCATAGGTAAACAGGCCATATATATTCAAACTTCAGTTTTTCAGAGAAGGTGTCATTCATAATAACTCATAGAAATTAATTAGATTTCAGAACTCCACAGCCTACCTCTGTTAAACGATCTGGTAAACAGCCTTCATTGATCATCTCCATTTCATTGAACCCTTCCAGTAGCCTTTCCTGCTTTTTATAATATTCAGAAACTTTTCGACGTTTCCCTGAAAAAATAAAAAATATGAACACCACCTTTCAAAATCATATGATGTTAAAAAATGGATTGACTGTAAATGTGCTGTCAGCAAAATTTGTCTGCAATTCATCAAGCTTAATCAGGAAAAAAAGAAAAAATTGAGGTGAGGAAAATTTGCGTGATCAAATTAAACACATTAAATAGCCTTGTAAGTAAATTTATTTTATTGGAAAGTTCATCGAATCATCCCAAAAGAAAAAGAAAATTGAAAAATATATATATATATATCAGATTCCTGCATATGGTAAAGAAGACTCTTGAAAGTTCTCATGTGTGATCTGGAACACACAGGAAAACAAAAGAAACTCATGAGCATCGGTTTGGATTTTTATAATCTTTTAATTTATTTTATGAAGTTCCAGTTAAGAAATTAATCCAGATTAATTCGGATGCCCGAAGAGAAAAATGCCTCAAACAGAAAATAAAACTACTTTCAATTATGGGTATTAAGCAGTTACTCAAAATAAAATTCACTTAAAAGTTAAATCATAGCAGTAATTTGCATCTGTGTCCAGAAGAGATAGAGAAATACAGCGTTTCTCGTTGGGTACAAATATATACATACTCGGACTGCGGAGGAGGCGTCCGAAACTGAACTTGTGGCGGTTATCAGAGTTGCGTTCCGGCAACCGGAACTCGTTTATATTCAATCTCCATGATGACTCTCCGATGTCCTCAGCGTCCGCCTCCGCCGCACCCAGCAACTCCCTAAAACTTTCGCTGACGCCGGCGGCGCTGTTCACCATGTTTTGATTTTTGGTTAGCAAAATCGAATCTTTTTTCCCAGATTTTCTTGGGACGATAGAATTAGGAAGGATTTACGCACTAAATCTATTTTGAAATCACCCTCAACTTTCCTTTCGCGCTTTGCGGTCCCGTCCACGATATGCATGGGACGTTGGAGTCTTGGAGATATGGATTCAATGATATTGGAATACACGTGTTTTAATTTCTATCTGTTTTTGTCCTTAATATTTTAGAGAAATTGCCCTAATTTTTTTAAATAAATATATATATATATATATATATATATATTTCAAAATGCGTATATAAAAAGTGGTTTGAGTAATAACGCTAACAAGGATCCTTCGGATTTATCTCCTACGAAAATGGCGAGTGATTGGCCGCTCAATCGAGTCCATCCCTTGAAGTCGTACCCTCCGAATATGCTTGAGTCTTCCGTCGATTGACTACTCTTCTATTGCTTGTTTACTTTTTAGATAAATCTATATGTATATAATTATTGTACATAATGGATTACATATGCTCATCTGGAAGAAATTCGACCGTGGATGTGAAGTGTGGAAAAGTCAAAAATTGTAGACTATCGATGGATGGGCGACACATGTCAATTATGTAGTGTATTATGTAAATGATTATTAACTTGTAGCAATATCTACTAGTTAATATAAAGCATCTCTTTGTATAACTAAAAAATTGATAAAATTTTAAATAAAAGTCAATAATTAATTCTAATTATATTATACATTTTATGAAATTCATAATTTTTATTAAATTTTCAATCATATATTTAATTAATTTTATTAAAATTTACTAAAATTCTAATTTTTTTTTAACCAAACTAAACAGAAGCAAAATTTCTTGCCCGATTTCATTAACATAAATCCTTTTATATATTTTGTCGTGCTCTGTGTGCAATATTCTAATTCTAAATTTTTAAAAACTTATTTTATTCATTGGTGGAGTTGTTGCAATTTACCTTTTTTTATAGTGGGCCATGGAAATTTGATCCATGCCCGATTTTATCTTGCAAAAAGAGACTGGAGTGGATGTCGACACAGAGAAATAATCGATCTACTAAGCACTGATATTTTACTCATAGTGAGCACCAAAAAATGCAAAATGATCATTGTTTCTATGAACGATCCACGCTTTACAATCAAAATAACTAGAAAAATGAGATATTCTTGCAATTGGGTCGAAGCCAAACAAAAGCATTCACCTACGAAAGTAAAACCTCCACTAGCCAAGTCCTAGTGGAAATACAAATGTTTTATTATGAAAGTCGCTGTCAATTTTGCGAGTAAAACTAAGACTGTAAAAAGATGCATATGTGTATTTCTTTATACAGATAGTCGACAAATTTTTAGATTGCGAAGTGGGGCCACCTCCGTGACAGTCACGTGCGAAGGCCTTTGATAATAATTTTCAACAAAAATATCGAGATCCAAATTAATGATTTGATACACGAATCAATATTATGAGACATTTTCATGGGCATATGCTTCGAGAAACACTATGTCGAGCGCAACAAAGTTGGTGAGATCCGATGATATGCTTGTGCTTTTTACAAAACCAAGGGGGATTCCAATAAGGAAATGTCATATTGTGATTTGTGTGTAGGACCCAACATTTTTTTTTTTTTATCCCTTCTTTTGCTCATGGTCCCACTGTGAACGAGGTATTGTCCCTAACAATTTTAATTGGTAGGGCCTTTTTTAGAAAATGACAAAAAAGGTTTAAGGTTTTTTTACTTGTGAAATTAAGAGCATCTAGTGTAAAATAAATTTAAATTGTGATTTAAATGTTTAAAGTGGTCCAAAATCTCTTTATTGGAGAGATGCAACGAAAATGGAAATTGCATTTTTGGAATTTAAATTCATCGAAATATATATAATGATAATAAAATAATTTGGGAAATATCAATTTACACAACGATTGGAGATGCTCTAATAATTTATAATATTGTGTATTAAGAATGTTATTTAAGCCTGGATTGACCGTCAATTTTCAAAACCCGTTTGTCTTCAATAATCATTTTTAATCGTACATTTTATGAAATTCATAACTTTTATCAAATTTTCAATCATAATATTTTTAAGAATCAAAATTTACTAAAAATTTGATTTTAAGCTAAACCAAATGGGTACAGTGATGGTCAAGAGGATGAGCAAAATTCATCGAGTCCCATTTTTTTTAGAATGGATTTTGTAAATAATAATTTTTCGAAGAATGTCTGGTAAAAAATATAGCAAAAATTTAGAATTAGTGTGTAAAATTATTTTATTGAAATAATAGTGGTTGAAAATGAGTTTGAGAAAAAATAAGATTCAAATAGCAGCCGAGAAAGTTTTTCAATGTGGCTTCTAGAGGTTTGATCAACCAAGAAAAAGGCTTCGGTTCGATAGTTTTGATATAGTTGCACAATAAATGTGGAAAGATTCAAGCTTCTTTCCACTTCAATTGTGAACAAACGTCGTTTTCTTATTATTCATTCATGTTCTATCAACAAGCACCAATAGACGCATGTCTTTTGGTTATAGAATACAAGTTGATAAATGTTAGAAACAAACACTAGCGTCTCTTCAAGTAAGCCTACAAGTTCCCATTTTATTCGTCACTAAAAATTTCTTGATTTATTCCCTACCCGACTTGTACATTTTTAAGTTGGACTTCAATTGTTTTGATGAGCTAATAGAAGATTTTGTTCATTTAAGGTATTCGACTACGACTTTTTTTTACAATGATAGATGCTCAAGTAGATTTTTGAATGGGAGTTGACCGCCGAAATCTTTACTAGTGACTTCTTATCGACATCTCTAGATGCCACATCACGATGCTACGAACGTGTATTTCATGCGGTAACGAACTATAAAAACTAAAGTGGTAATTACATAAAATAGTACTTTAAGTTTTTAAACTCCCAAAATCGCATTGGAAGTTTAATATTTCCAAAATCAGATTTTTTATTAATTAATATATTATTACTAAATAAAACATATGATTAAATTAAATTAATTTATAAACCAAA